TTCATTTCAGACAGCCAAACATTTAGAAGTATTCCAAGCAAGGGTTAATTTAATTTTACCTTAATCAATATCTGTACCACCAGCAACAAAAAGTGTTTCTTAAAGGGGCAGTGCAACGGTTTTAATGTTGAAAGAATTGCCAGTTTTCATTTTTTATATTGTTTATACAAGCCCAAGCGACCAAAAACACGTCACCTTTCCCCAAAAAACGGCTATAGTGTAGACCGCATATAACGTATGTCGCGGGAGTCGCGAAAATCCGCACTATAAGCGGTACCGCGTTATAACCAAAACATCAATTTTTCAGGCCAAAATACATGCCATGAGACAACTTACCTTTGTAAAAGAATTTATTTTATGTTAGATGAAAAATAAAGCTTAGTTTGAGGAAAGTCTTTATTTCACCAGACTAGTACAGTTATGTCTCAAGTGTGTCACACATTTTGAAAGAAATTAGCGGCTTTTGCCTGGTGCAGCCTTTTAACGGCGTCGCGGGTTGCGGACGGACGTTGCGAGCGTTCAGGATTGCTAACCCTAATCACTTTTCTCCGGAGATGAAAACGCGTGAAAATTCGCATCCTTCATACGGTACGCGCCAGTAATACCTTGAACTTTAGCACACGCATGAAATGCGCCAAATAAGAAATCCGGGCGATGTTTGAGGTCACAAATGCTTAGAAATCACCACTGTAGTCGAAGTAAACAAACACGACGACACGGGCATTTCTGCCGTCTTGAGAGCGCCGCCACGACATCGCTGCACGAGTAGGTGGATCTTCCCTTCTAGTACGTGCTGGGTTATCATAGCGACACACAACGAAAATTCACAGTCAAGGATAGCGCTTTTACGCAGAACGATGAGATGAACTCCGTCTACGACGACGATCACAACCGACACCATGTTTGCGGAGAAGCAGCCGGCCCGCGACCGGTACGCAACGCGCGCGAACACTTCTCCTCGATCTGCGATTGGTCTGTCGGTGCGGTTGTTTGTTTCTTTGTTTCCAACGCAGCGGAGGGACGCACGCACGTGAACGACACGTGCGTGCGTCCCTCTGTCGCTACGGCGACTGAAGCCTCTCTCTTCGCTTCTCCCCACTTCTTCGAGCAACATTCTCGCCCCGCGGCCCCGCGCCGTCAGCGCCGTTATCTAGTGTCGCACAGGGAAGCGTGCCCGCTGCTCCGGTCGTCGGCGCGGTCGGCGGGCTGTGCCAAAAACCGCACTATAGCCGGTATTTCCCTTTGCGCGCCTGCATTCTAAGCGGTATGTAAATACATGGAGTTCTATGGGAGGCGAACCGGTGGTTTAAGTTTGACTAGGGCTGGATGAGCGATATCTCAGTGTTTAATTATGGGGTGGTAGCTGGTGTCACCTACTGGTTGTAGCAAATATAACTAACTAACTGGCTTCCGTGGAAAAAGTTCCCGAAAAGGGGGGGCCAAAAACGCGCGCTACCGGGTTTTCGCGATGCAGCGCGGCATACATTTGAGCTTAAAGGGGCAGTGCAACGATTTTCAGACTTTGGCCAATTAACTGCGGAAATTAATCTGCATAACCTATGGAACGAAAAACCGAAAGCCGCATTTTCTTCCGAGCGCTAGTTCTTATTTTAAAAAAATGAAACAAATCGAAGGTCGAAGTGCCTCTCAACTCTCCTTGCTGACTTTCGAGTGACATCTCGGGGGGGTTCACGTGGTTTCCCCTTGGGCCCTTTCTTCAGAGACACCGGCTGCTTCCTCCGCGATTGTCAACTTTCAAAGGATCAGCCTCGTCGGAGGTCGCGGCGAGCGATGGACACAAAGGACGGTTCGCCACGGGGCTGACGGCGAGCGTAGCAGTGGAGGGGGACAGGGTTTGTTGACTTCCGCGCATCTCCCAGAGACGCCGTCATTTTAGTTCCCGTAGCCGCCCGTCCTTTGTGTCCATCGCTCGCCGCGACCTCCGACGAGGCTGATCCTTTGAAAGTTGACAATCGCGGAGGAAGCAGCCGGTGTCTCTGAAGAAAGGGCCCAAGGGGAAACCACGTGAACCCCCCGAGATGTCACTCGAAAGTCAGCAAGGAGAGTTGAGAGGCACTTCGACCTTCGATTTGTTTCATTTTTTTAAAATAAGAACTAGCGCTCGGAAGAAAATGCGGCTTTCGGTTTTTCGTTTCATAGGTTATGCAGATTAATTTCCGCAGTTAATTGGCCAAAGTCTGAAAATCGTTGCACTGCCCCTTTAAGCTCAAATGTATGCCGCGCTGCATCGCGAAAACCCGGTAGCGCGCGTTTTTGGCCCCCCCTTTTCGGGAACTTTTTCCACGGAAGCCAGTTAGTTAGTTATATTTGCTACAACCAGTAGGTGACACCAGCTACCACCCCATAATTAAACACTGAGATATCGCTCATCCAGCCCTAGTCAAACTTGGCTAGGTACTTTTTGATACCTAGTAGGGAAGGGCGGTTAACTTTTAACTGCGGTTAAAGTTAACCGGCTTCGAGCAAACGGGCCCTGGTTGATGTCAAAGACGACCTGCGTCACCAAGCACTTTCGATAAAAGTACTTCAGAGACCAGATGATCCCTTTATCCAGCGGCTGGAGGACAGAAGGTGTGTTCGGTAGCAGGAACATCAAGCCTTCAGTAAAGTCACCACCTTGAGCACGGAGCAGTTATCCAAAAGCAGCAGGACCTTCCTGTGCTGCCCATCCATGTCCTTGTCAGAAGCCACTAGCCAGTCCTCGAAACACTTCGACATCATCCAGGCCTTTCTATTGAACCAGTAGTCTGCCTGCGGTTGCTAGCATTCCGGAGGCACATCGGTTGAGCAGACTTTCAATGACAGTGAGTCACCTTTCGTCAGAGCCGCCCATGTTGGCCGCAACAACGAAACCGAAGTGAAAAACACTCCGGTCTCGTCAACGCTGTACACGTTGCACTCGCTGCAGTCCTGAAGCAGAAGTCGGAAGTTCTCCAGCCACTTCTCGCATGTCTCTGTGCTCACGGCGGAGGCTTCGCCAGACAATGTGTGGCAAACGACTTCTTGGCAGTTCTAGAAGCGCTGGAGCCAACCGCTGCTCGCACTAAGGTCATCATGCCCTAACAGACACGCCAGAATGATTGCTTTCGTTTGAAGAAGCTGACCAGACGCTGGCAGATTTCGCGCTTTTACGTCCTTAAAGGAGTACTCCGGCGATTACTTCGCGGTCCCCGATTTGTCTGAAATTTTGCTAAACTTGCCAACAAACACTGCTAAAATAGTACCTCCAATATTAGGTCAAGATATTTTTTTCCACAAAGTTACTGAATTTACACTTTTGGTCCTCACCATGTCTCTACTGGCAACAACGAAAAAGTGACGTCAGTGGAGGGCAGGGGTTCACTCTTTGGACTGTAGAATTTGTTACCAACTGATTCGAAGCAGTTTCATGGTGTCAAATGAATGCCTTAAAGGCTCACTGCAGTACCCGCACTCCAGCAAGGAACAAATGATTGGCATATTCTATTATTTTCTAGACTGCTTGCTTGACTGGCAAGCCTGCCCGCCACTGACGTCCCAGCACTGCAAAGTGCGGGTATACTTAAATGTTGGTTTTTGCATCGTTTTCATTTGCCGATTTCACAGTAACTATTATGAATTTCGCGATACTAAATAGCATATCAGAAAGGATAAAGGCCAGGGAGTCAGAAAATATAGTTAGTTGAGGTAGCTCGAAAAATCGCCGGAGATTAAACCATGGAAACAGAGTCTCTCCAGCGTACGGGTAGAGGCAAGGCCTAAGACCCTTTCGGTCAATTTTGAAGGTGTCATTTGCATACCGGACTTCAATCTTCTTCCTTGCACTCAGGATGGTAGATATCGTGCTTGGTCCAAGCTGAAAGTTCACAGCGATGTCTTTTTTCTTCCGACCGCTGTCCATCGCCCTCGAAACCTTCCCTTTTTTTTTTTCAGAAAGACGGCTTTCCACTCTGTCGCCATTTGCAGCTTTGCTACGAGTGGCGTGGTTGGCCAGACACGCCACTCTGCACTGGTTCTTGATGCCACAAATTGAGTCCAGCAGATGCGCCTCCGCCATTATCCGCTCGGTTCATAGGTGGCGCTACCTCCCGAGTGCAACTTTTTGCGCATTGGGCGATCTAAACTTTCGCAATTTTTATCGTTTTGAAAATACTCCTTGTTTTCTGTCTTTTCTACTTCTTAATAACTTTCATAGTATTTTGCAATGCAAGAAAAGCAGGAATTGCTTCGCTATAACTGGTAGCGTGTCAGATCTCACGGTTTCAGTTTCGTTATAGAACTAGAACTCCCATCCAAATAAAGCATGACCAACAAAACTTCGTGATTAGTTTGCTATATCCGATAATTCGGTATATCAGTGTTCAATATAAAGAGGTTCAAGTGTAATGTGTGTAAGCCGCACACTATAATAGCACTGAGCTCATCAAGTTTTAAAATAATTACAAATTGCGATTGTTTTTTCTTGTTGCTTTTTATTTGACGTTCTAATCTTTCACGTCCTTGCATAATGGCCTTCCCTCTTTGTTGTCAGATTAAGGCACCAACCGCACTATAACTCTGATTATGCCACTGTAAGAACATTCAGTATTGTTCACTGCACATCTGCTTACTCTCCTTTGGCTTGCCGCAATCTTATTTCTTACATTTCATATTTCTAAGGCATCTTCGGGGAAACAAGTCAAACATTTAACCCCGACATAATACCTCTAGGATCCTCAACACCAACCGAAGAACTGCGGGTCGTTGGAATTATCGCCTCACTCAAACGTAGCTGTACTATCCTTTAGTCGGGCAGTAGCGCAACCAGAAAATATTTCTTAAGCTGCATTTTTCTACCTCACCAATAAAAGATATCATTAAATAAAATGAGGCATTTCCATCAAACAATTATACACTCTAAAGGTAAATGGTAAACAAACAATCCCCATGTGAAGATGGAATAGAGTAGGAAAAGGCAATGAAGCCGTACATTTCATGAGAGGAGCCACAACACTACTTACGGTTATCCGAGTCTTGACGTCGTACTGCCCGTCATGTTCGGGAAAGCAGCACGAGTCAAACAATACGCTAAGCACGTGAGGCACCTCCCGAGAAGGCACGAGAAATCCGGGAGCCTGCAATGGGAACCCACAGTTACTCTCCAGCGCAAAACTAGCAGAGATTGGCAGCATCGCAAGAATTTCCAATGCCAACGCTCGCTCCGCAAAACACTCGCACTACAAGAAGCATAAAACTATTTCCTATCAAAAATTGCACTGACAATCGTCCGACGTGATGCAAATCAACAGCGTCACCTGGTGCATCATTTTTATTGTATTGCTTCGCGATTGATTGGAAATTCCGTCGATGTTGCGCCGTGTGGTGTTTCGTGTAAACCACAACCAATCGCACACGAAACAGCTAGCAACGAACACGTTCTCGCAGACGCGCTGCACAAATTGCACGGTCGCACCAGCATGTCCGTTCTCCGCTCAGTAACTTTCTCCTCTACGTGCCGCCTCACTTTACCACACGGCACGATCTCGATGTTGAGTTAGTTCCATCCTAACATCCGGTCTGAGACCGTCGGTGCCAATGTGTCGACGACGGCCTCTCACGGGCATGTTTAGTCTGCCAAGTAGTTGCCACTCGCTCCGGCGTACGCTTCGGTTGCCCCATTCTTGTGCGCAGAGACTTAGAGTGCCCAGGGAACGGACCACCAAAGGTGAGAAAGAGCAGGTGGCAATGAGTGCAATCACATGACCCCCAGTACAATCGCAATCGGCCGAACGCATCACGCCTCAACTGCGACTATTATTGGCGAAAGGGCCAGGGTATCGCTGCTTTGCTCGCCCCCTCCTGGCACCAAAGCCACCTGCAACAAATGTGAGCATGCTCCGTTTGTTTTTGACAACATGCCGCTTGCTTGCTACAACGAGCCCAATACGGCCAACGCCGTGAAACAGCCTCCCGACAAGAGACTTTGATGCACAATTGTGCTTTATAAAAACTTCGGCTCAAAAGTTGTGCAAATGAACCAACCACTCACCTCCTGAGACAAAACCTTGCCCTTGTACTCGAGGTTGACAGAGGCCACATGTACCGTTGGAATACCGAGCAACATGCTTGCCAGCTCTGGCCAGTCATGGGTCATCAACTGGGACAGTCCTGCGAGGACGTCAAATTTACAGTCCTCAACACTCTCGAGGCCCAAATGCTGCCACCCAAATATAACGGAGTTAACAAGTACCATATTTACTCGCATAATGAACACGGTCTTCTTCCCGAAAAAGTGACACATATTTGGGGGATGCCTTCATTACGCCGGGTAAAATTTTTGCATTTACACACTTCATGCAGGCACGTCTTCACTGATGAAGGCACACCCACAGCTGGTCAGGGGCGTGCCACAGTAACCATGCTTTATAAATTGCGAACCTCTTTAAGGTGCTTTCAAAGTTCCTTTGTCAAAGGAAAAGCGCCCTACGAAGCTCACTCAGCACGGAGAGCAACACGTCTCTACTTAAGCCTAACCATTTTTACGACTTCACTGTCCAAAAGCGGACCGCAGACAACGGCGAGTTTGTTGGCATCAATGCATCCGATAAGCGGAAAATGTCCAAGGCTGGGCAATTCCTCGACCCAAGCTTCGCCAAGTGTGAGCGCCGCTCGGTTTTACAGTTGATTACTTCCGCAACTACGTATTTACAGCCATTACAAGAGCGCCTTGGCTAGGCTTGACTTGGCTCCATCGCTTGGTGACATAACGAAATTGGCTTGGTGAGTTGGACGCATTTGGAGACTCGCAGAGCCGAAAATTGGAGGTGCGTTCATTACGGGAAGGGAAAGGAAGTCCAAATATTGGTACCCATTGTGAGGGGTGCGTTCATTATGCGAGTGCCTTCATTATACGAGTAAATACGGTAGGTGCTGAATACACTTTGCACACAGGATGTTTTTCTAGTGCGTCCAGGATCTTTAAAAAAAAACCTTACGTTAAGACCCTGTGTGCTAAGTTGGCGGCAATGTAGGCCACAGGAAATGAGGCGAAATGGGTTAATTAGTTTGCTAATCGACTAAAAGGTTTTGATTAACCTTTAAAGACATCCTTGGAGGGCATATTTTATTTGGAGAATTGATGCCGCACCTTGAAATTTGTATTTGAAAATTCGTAGTGGGTGCAACAGCGCAAGAAGAAAATTAGACGTTTACAATTCTCCGTAGTGTCGAATTAGAGCACAGCTCTTGAGGAGGATGGGAGGGTACGGAGGGGAGGGTAATACACCACCTAGTCTTCTACTTCCTTTCCATTTAGAGTGAAATTTTCGCTAAATTTCCTGTTAAATTTAGCAGGGAATACTTTCCGCTAAATTTAGCGGGGAAAATTTTTTGGAAAATTTAGAGGGAAAATTTTCCCACAAAATATAGCAGGATTTCCACCAAATTTAGCAGGGATTTTTCTCCACTAAATTTAGCAGCAGGGAATTGTTTCCACTAAATTTAGAGGGGAATTGTTTCCACTAGATTTAGAGGGGATATTTTTCCGCTAGATTTAGCGGAAAAATTTTTCCTCTTAATTTAGCAGGAAAAGTTTTCTGCTCAATTTAGCGGAGAAATTTTCCCGCTAAATTTAACGGAAGATACTTTGCGAAAATTTTTCCACTAAATTTAGCAGGGAAATTTTCCTATGATGCAACGCGCAGTGACGCCCACTTGCATTATTCCCATAATGCAATGCACAGTTACATTGACGAAGAAGGGGACAACACTCAAGCCGGAAACGGGTGCCTAAGGGCTGCGCTCTAAAATGTCACCCTTTGCAGAGCTTGAAACCAAAACTAAGCGAGCTAAGAGAGGTGCTACCGCAGCCAGTTTTGTTTGTGAACCTGGCAGGAGCAGAGGAATCGACATCGCTGGCACTCTTTAAAAGTTATTTGAAACTTTTTAGTTAACTAGCTAACTGTGTAATACATTTCAGCTTTGTTCTAGTGGCTGCCATAGCCCCAACAACTTGGCCCCAAAGCTAAAAAAAGCCCTGACAAGTCTTTTTTTTTTATGTATTTTATTTTAGACCGATTAGAAAAGAAATTAGCAAAGTATAGTATGGGTCTGTTTATCTTCAATGTCCCCCTTTCGTTATTGAAAAAAAAAAAAAATTAAAACTGCGGCATTGCATAATTTACATCTGTATAGAAAGAGGTCTCGAATTGCCAGTCATTACTTTACAAACAAAGGTATGTCATCTCCATACTTCTATGAGATAATGACTCAGTTCCACATTATGTTGATGTGTTCAATTTAAAAAAAAAAAACTTCCAGCCTTTCCACTTTGGTGAAGATGGAAGGCCAGCAAAGCTGTACTATTGTGGGATTTAAGTATATTTATAAAAACTGTTCAGCCGGTGTGGCGTCCTGTGGTCACTGGCCCTCGCGTTTGCACTTGGCTCAGTGATACGATCGTCGTCCGTGGCATTGGCCCACCGGCCCCGGTCACATCGCCACTTCTGTTCTCGGCGGTGTTCCAGGCGAGCAATCTGCTCTTCTTTTGCAAAGGATTCAGAACCACTCGGCTCAGTGGAACGCGAGGCAACAGCGGCTTCGCGGCGTTTTGCGCAGCCATTTGCGCTGCTGCGCACGTCGCCACCCCTTGCGCTCTTGCTCTTCTTCCTCGAACAGCACACGGCCAACCCATTTTGAGTCTAAAGGGCAACTGATAAGAGTGCTAACGCAATGTCGGTGTCACGGGATACAGGACACACACGAATGGTAGGTGAGATGACGACGTAGGGCGACGGTGAACTGGCTCGAGTTTTTGTGTCGACACACCGCTTGTCCGCTGAAACGATAATGGGGGAACTGGCCCAACTTTAGTGTAAAAAGAAAAAAAATCAACCCTCATAAAGTGTACAGCCATGGCCTAGCATCTTTCGATTAACAGAGACAAGCACTTCAAATGCACGGAACGTTCATGCCTTAAACAACTGGGCAGTCCCAGTGGCGTAGCCAGGGGGGAGGCTTATGGGGCTTCAGCCGCCCCCCGAAATCCAGCAGACTCTATAATATTGTCATGAATGACAAGGTGAAACAAAGAATAACCGGGGAAACTGAAATGTTTAACGGGGCAATCTTGTGCCCGAAAATAAAAAGGGAAACAGAAGAAAACAGCAGAGCGTTGCGCTCGTCAAAGTCGGCGTGACAGCAGAGTCGAACGCTGGGGCGAAACTGATCGCAGATCGCCACGCAGAGCCCCTTGTGTACGCGCGTTGGCTTCTGGAACAATCAGCCTAGAAGGTTCGGTGACTAGAACATTTGGAACTCGATCAGACAAGAATGATCTCAAAGTCATGAGAATGCAATGTTGAAAGGGTAAATAAAAGAACATTCCACTGACTGGAATCGAACCTAGACTTACCACGCGACAGTCAAGCGCGGTAACAACTTGGCCGCGCATGCGGTCACTCGCCAACCACGTGGCAATATAACCATGCATAATGACCTCCCCTCCCCCCCCCCCCAAAAAAAAAAAATTCCTAGCAGTCCCCAAGACAGTTAAGTGCAAACTTTGCTACTTACTGCGAGAAGGAATGCAGGAAAACACATGGTCAGCCTCCGTGGTCGACTCTGCAAACGACACCTGAGTCACGTAGCACAATCAAGATATTACATAATTGCTGCTCATAAGAATGCATACAAAAAGTAAGTTCAGGCTAATTCCTTTCATTTCGTCACAGATTTAGGGGACCACAGAAATTGGTTGCTTGAACTCCAGGGTATAGTAATTTTCTAAAAAGATGTTTTAAGGTGGTGGACATACACTTAAATTTAGTAATTAGATGGGTTAAATACTAAAAAAATAAAAGTGCTACTCTCTACGCCTGAATGCCCTGCTAAGTATTGTTCTTTCAAAACTGAAAATTTGTATTTTGTGCTGCTGAAACACTTCTTTTGATAGGAACAGTTCGAAAAACAATCGCACTGGCTAGGGTGACCATATTCCTCAAGGTAGAAAACGGGACATCCCAGCGCCCGAGGGGGGGGGGGAGGAGGACTATAAAGATTGAGATTGGGAGAAAAAATTTAATGCAAGAACTGATATTTCAAGACGTTAACGTACTACGTGCGTGTTGTATTCAGTAACTCAAAAAAGTATTTCTACAAACGAGTCTTCGCGACAGAAAAAAGTGTTTGTGGGCAAGAACAGTTCTCTAAATTTTACTGGGTAAATATTTTAAAGTACCTACGGTTATTTTTATAAAATATATCTTGTAACGAATAGGCACAGTTTCGGTTTACTTCAACTAGCTTTGTGCCAATTTCGAAACTATGCGCTCCTGTGAAAACGGGATATGATTCCTTGTTGGGACAAAAAGACGGGACGGCAGAAGCGGACCTCAAAAACGGGACTGTCCCGGCCAAAACGGGACGTCTGGTCATCCTAGCACTGGCACACCTTCACTAAAATACTATATTATTTAAATAGGTTCCAAAAGAATTTAACTAAAAAAAAGGTATTATAGTTTCATGTTCAACTCCTCACTAAAGTAATACAACAAGATTAAATAAGAAAAGAAAAATGTCCACTCATAGCTGCATTTTTGGAAAAAAGTACAACAGGCTTAATATACCGTAAAATATTGAGCGTCCGCCCCAATCCACAATAAGCGCCCACCCCTCAGTTTTGTAACATTTGGAAAATGCACAGAGGGCATATCTTAACGAATCCTTGACCGAAAGAGTGCCCAGCCCCCAGTTTTACACAATCATCTCCAAATTTGGGTGGGC